TTGAGATTTTAATAAATAATAAAGATAGGAAGACATCTCATATTGTGAAGGAAATTTATAGGACTTGAGGTAATTGCTTGTGCATAGAATGATAATTCTAAGTTTTTTAAGTTTAGAAAGAATCTATTTTAAATGGATTACTAAACATAATATAGATTCAAAATTATAGAAAATATCTAAAAAATCACATAAGAATAAAATTAATGCAGAGAGTTAGGTTACTATGAAGTAGTAAGATTTAATATAATTTCCAAAATGAAACTTTTTTTGTATCAATTATGGGAAAAATTATTAATACCTAAATATCATTGATAGAAAATTAAAATATGTCTAATGAATTGTTTGGGTCTTAAGTGAATCTACTCTACTATCTAATATCACAACTATAAAAATGGATATTTATAGAACGGTTTTTTAGAGAAAAACGTTCAATATAAATCTGCAAATATAAGAGATTTATTGATTTTCTATTAATTCTAATAAATAATCAATTACATTAAATATATTGTACTTATGTCATATGTGATTTAAATTTTACCTTATACTATTTGCAAAAAGTATTTAATTACAATGATATCAATACTTCTTGGGATATAACGACTAACACTTAAGGTTAAGCACTTCACTGCTTTACATCGTTCACTAATATTTAAATATATATCTACTCTGATTAAGTAGCAATAAATATCATTCCTTTTAGAAGAATTATCTTAATATTGTTCATTATTTTAAATATCTAACTTATTCTAATTAATTTAAATATAAAAATGAAAGATTTCAAAATAGAGTTTATTAGAATTAAGTAAATTTATATTATTAAACAAATACTAGAATATTAGTTAGGAAAAAACATATTAGAAATAATAAATAAGTAAATTAACTTCACTCTGATTTAAAGAATATATAGGTCTATAAGAAAGGATTTAGATTTAAATTTATGGATTCAATTATAAACTAAAACTTGTAATTTATATCATGGTACTAAAATAAAATATGAATAATTAAACTAGTTGATAAATATAGAAAATTTATATTATTCAGGATACTAATTCAATAAATTAATGAGCAATTAAAAAGTGAAAAGTTATATCGATTCAAAAATATTATTAGGATATATTGAAGAATTACCGTTATGTTCAGGATTTCAATGAAATCAATCCATTTGAAAGAGTTTAAATTATTATTTGATAAGAATCAGAGTTATAAAATTGAATTAACAAAAAATCAAATAGTGATATAAGCATAGCCACACTCTTCTTGATTAAATAATAATATTGCCTTTGCCTACTCATAATTGAGCTTTATCTCAAAAGTTTAAAGACAACAAATTAAAAATGTAGAATAAGATTAAAAAATACAATTTATTTCAGAATAATATTTAAACTACTTATAAATGAAGAATTTGTAAATGATTGGAAATTTTAATTTAATTATGTTTTGATAAGAACAAAATAAAAAGGATAACTCTCCTATTCTTAATGATGAAGAATATGAAAAGT